ACCCACCACCCACCACCCACCACCCACCACCCACCACCCACCACCACTATTTCTACTATATATTCTTTCTGTGACGACTGTCACCACAAAACAGCTCCATCTTCTCCCTGCCGTACCCAGCGTCATCACCGGCGGGCTGTCCGGAGCCTTGGGCGCCTCAAACGACCGACGTGCCCCGAGCGTGGAATCAAAGGATACCAAGTCCGCCCCGTTCTTTGGTTGCAAAAGAAAAAAGCCCAAGGTGCCCGCCGCTAGGAGTCCGCTGCTACTGTTGTTGCGCCGCGGCTCCGTTGGAATCAAAAAGGATACTAGTGCGGAAAAAAGAAAGACACCAAAAGAACATCCTCTGCCGTGGCGTGGTGCACTGCACACGCTCACTGAATGAAAGCGTCCTTTTTTCACGTGGAGCACATAAGATCATGTAAGAGGTATCCGGGTAGATTTTCATGTTGGCAGCGCTCTTCAGGTCACAAGAAAAGAGGGGCAACCGTGTCGTCAACACGCACTGCGACCGACCCAGTGCGTCGAAGCCCGAAAGATGGTCTATTCAGGAACTCCTTGCAGGCAACGGAAAACCAAGCCGTTTTGGTTGGAATATCCTATTCCCTGGAGCAGTGGATGATGGTGAGGCTAGCGGCCAGGCCTTGTTCAAACAGGTAATGGACAGACCCTAGCTATTCCACCGATTCGCTTTCAGTGCGGAAACCAATCCTTCAAGAAGGTTAAAGGTTGTTCTCTGACTGGGCAGACTCCACAACGATTGTTGTTGAACTGGTATGAGATGCTCCATTTCAGTGGCTTCAGTGTCCACTGTTAGGTGTCCAATGGACCATTCAATAGAAAAATAGATACAGTAGATTATTCCTGCTTAAGGAGCGACCAAGCTCCAGACCAAGCTCGGGGTGAGCTCGGTCGCCACTTCAAAGAGTACTACACTCGAATCATCATTTCTTACGGGGAACCTGGACCCGATTTTGGCCGCCTCTTCTGCCCGACCCATTTTTACCTGTGGAGGGGCACTCTGCTGATAGACGATACTAGTTGCGTCGAAGTGCAACGATCAAATCTCACTCCAACTGCTCCACCCCTACCCCGTTCGTCTCCCATGGGAAACATCACCCTGGTATGGAGAAGATCCCACAAAGTGGCAGTCCTATGTGTGGTATTCCCCACTGCAGAATACATCAGACCAGTAGGTGGTTCGGCATTTCTTCCTCCGGTAGTCCATTCCCATCCGCCGCACCGCCTTGTCCTTCGTGTATACCTCGTAGGCGGATCCAGGGTAGAAGGCCTGCTGTGGCGTGGTAAAAGACATCCCGCGCGCGAAAGAAGGGGGTCTCCATATGTCTTTTGACTGGGAAACGTGACATATAATCTGCTTGCGATTGTCAAAGAGGACCTCCATACCAATTTAAAGGAATACATTCCCTTTTTGCTCTGACAAGGCTTCGATGTTCAAGTCTTTGACAGGGGTGTTGCCGGATGACACTCCCCCCGCATTCTGGTCTGCTGGTCTGAAGATTAGCAACCGGGCTCGGGAGCATGGCACTTGGGTCCTGCCACGAGAAGTGGGCGCCTGCCTTTGCCACGAGATCTGGGTACAACCCAGAATCTGGATGTTGATGATACATTGTATGTGTAATGTGTGTGTGTGTGTGTTCCACCTGTGACGTTCAACATATAACACAAATCATCGTGAAATGATTCCGCATCAACAGATTCATGATCACGTGCAACTGCTTCACCGAAGCACCAGCCTCCCTTCTTTTCCTGATCAAACATGGCCATTCTCTGCGGGCTGGTCACAATTAGTTCCCACACGGAGATCTCTTAGTGCCCTACTACTTGGAGCAACATTGTGCTAGGGGTAGTGTTTGAGTGTGGACATGTGCATTATTATGGTCCTATCTCATCATCAAACTTCCTCCAAATCTACTCACTGCAATCCTCTCAAACCATAGTGAGTCCTTCTCTCACTGAACTTCGCAGCAGGTCCAGTCCTTTATCAGTTCCAAGAAGAGCTCTTTGACACGTTCCCTGTTTGGAGGCAAAACCCATTCAGGGAAGCCCAGTTCAACCGTTCTCTTACTGCCTACTTCCCCAGAGACACCGAACTCCAAGACCTGCGAACTCCCCGTGTGACGACACCGTGTGACGCACACACGTCCGAGCGAAGCGGCACAGAACCGTGTGCTGTTTTGGGGGAAGGTGTAGCTTCCTGTCTCAGCGTGTTGCCTGCTTCCTGTCTGAGTTTTGATGTTTGGTGCGGGTCAAATCCATCGGATCTTCTCCTTCTCGGTCGAAGCAAAAAAAATAACGCTTCTCCTCGCCATACCGAGACCGCGTGAAGGACCCGCCACCTGTGGGCTCTCCATGCGAGTGATGTCCTCGGGTGGTCGGGGCCGGTGGCCGTGGGTTTCAAAGGGCTTCCGGGGCGTCGGGGGCGCAAAAAAGCGAGGTCTGCCGGGTTTGGATGGAAGCATGAAGTGGCAGATTCGGTCAGAGCCCTCAGGAATTTTGGGGAGAACCTGGCCGAAGAGCTTGGAAGCTCACACTCGGTGTGTGGCCTGAAGAGAGGTTGTCAGTCAGCGAAGAAGGAAGCTGGAGTATCTGTGAATGCCATTGCCATTGATATGTGAATGAAACGAACTTACCCCGACCGGACCTTGTTGTTGGACACAAAGGCCCTGTGGGACTTGTGCTCGCTTTATTGACTCGAGACAAAAGTCACCCTATCATAAAATGGATTCTACATGAGCTTCGGTGTCGATATGCGGTTCATCTTGGTCACTATATACTAATTTAATATATAATGGTATCTAATGGTCAGTTCATCTTGAAAAACACCGAAAAGCAGAAACATGGGGTGAAGCCGGTGGAGAAAATCCTGCTCTAGCTGGGAAACCCATGTAAGTTGATGTAATTTGGTGGTACGAGTCTCCCGCATTTGGTGCAGGAAGAAGAAAAGATAGAAAGTGTCCATCTCATCCCAGGAACGTCCTTTCCATCTTCCAAAAGATTCGACCTCTCATCCCCTGCGAACAAAGAAAGGCCACCTCTTCACCACCGAACCTGAAAGCAACGACTCCCGCAGTTCGAATCACCCGCTGCATCCCGCGGTGACGCTCTTTCTCTCGCGCGGTGTGAGGTACCCCGAGCATCTGGCCGCTTCTCCATGATGCCGGTCGAACGTGTCCCGGTCACCCAACGCCAGCGGGAAAAGGGTGGGAACCGGGAGCGATTCGGCAGATTCGACTCACTGAGTGGCATCCACACACACGATGTTCAGGGTCCATTTTGGTCTCGCCCCGCACACGGCTTCTGTGCGCGGTGTCTCAAACACAAAGAAGGACCGGATCTCTGATTGGCACACAGCCAATCGCTGAGTTGGACCGGAGCTCATCGGTAGGGAGCTCGAGATGGATGGATGTCTTGGTTCCTTTAAGATGACGAAACAAACTCAAATCATGCAACAGCTGAAACAAACCTCCAAACAGATTACGATGGTAGAGGGGATACATGTCCGTGCATGTCCCAAAGCTGCAGATTGCTTCGGACGGGCTGCAAGGGTCTCCAGTTGAAACTTCTTTGACTCTAATTGATTTCTTGTATTCTTTAGCTTCTTTTTATTTGTTCTTCTATTTGATGTTCTTTAGCTTCTTTAGATGATTTCTTGTATGCTGTTCTTCTCTTTTTCGGCCCGTGGCCCTCAAACCCTGCCTCCTTACTGTAATTAAGCCCTGGAATCTTCTTGTCTGGACAAAGGATCCAAAATCTCGGGCTCCCTCTTCTGGCATGGTCCGAGAATTGCTAAGTTTTTGGAGCCGTCATTGGGTTTTCAAACGCTTGAACTTGGGCGCGGCAGCGGTGTAGGAGCCATCAAGCCCACCACTGAGGCTGGCTAGGGAAACCTTCTCCTGGAAAGACCGCGACCCGTTTCGAAGCTTCCGAGAAGAATGAGAAAGATGAAAGAAGTGCATGGTCAGCCGCTAACCAGTTACGCACAATCAGTGGAACCCTTCTGGACTTTCCACAACATACCTCGCAGAAGTGAGCCAATTTCGGACCAAGATCTTCCTACCAAGTGCTCTCCAAGCACTAGAACCAACAAGGAAAGGAAACCAAAATAAAAGAAGCCACTCCTGCCACCTGCCACCACTCCTCACATCTCCTCCCCACTCCCGGTCCTCTTTGGGTCGCTTCCCCTCCACCTTCTCCACCTTCTCCGCCTTGCTCGGCGCCGTCTCCATCCTCGGTGTCTCGCAGCCGGGCTCCAAGACCTCGTCGGCCTCCTCGGCCTCGCCCCGGCGCACGCTCTCGAGGACCTGCCGAGAGCGGAGACGTCCCGGAGTCCCAAAGAACACACCCACCACGCCGGGTTTGGAGGATCCTTTTTTTGGGAGTTCAAGAGTTTGGAGACTGGGCTAGGCCGGTCTGACTGGTCTATGTGTTCTGACCCTGGGAGAGGTCCGGAACTGGATCCCTTTCTGTGCCTGCACCCAAGTTACATAAGCACTGTCAAACCGAAGCTCCCCACTCTTCCGGGCAAACGCCATGTTTTCTCTGCGTCGCCCAACGCCTCCCATCGTGATGAAACAGGGCAACAAGGCACGCAAGGCGCTATGCTCGCGAGGGAAACGCCCTTTTTGTTGGACACTTTCAAGGCCTGTTTCAAGAGCTGCAGTTGGGAGTCCTTGCTGGAATAGATCAGGTTCTGCTGTTCCAGCCGCGTCACATTGTAGTCTCGCACCACCTGCGACGATAAGACGGTGGGCGACGTCGACGTCAGACAGGACGTCGATGCGAGCGCGTGTGTTTCTGAAAAGGGGGCACGTTTGCTTCGTGTGGTCATGAAGAACTTGATGCAAAGCGGAAATGTAAAATCCTGCAGAGACATCTGAAGCTAAGTTTAGGATTCGAGATCACTCGAAGAAAGGGTCAAAAGCGGGGAGTTGCGTGCAAAATTGCTCGCGAATTGGCTAAAATGTAATGTAGACGATTGCTGTGATGAACCCCCCCAATCTGGAGATGTAAAACCATCGGGGTAGGGGGGGTCTGCATCAACAGTCTACCTTGTGATGAAACGCTCTAAGAACAAAATTAGCGACTATATTAATATCTCATATCCAGGGTTCACAAAGGGGTGGGTTTTCGTCCCTAAGTGAGTGGATCATGGGCACCCCTATCCTCCAAGTTCGGCACCCCGTCTTGTGACTCCTGGATATCATATATATATTATATATATATGATCTCCCTGTTACATGGACACATGGATACCGCAAACGGAGACCTGGGAGTGAAACAGATCACATGCCGACTAAACGACGAGCATATCGACGAGCCGTGGATATTGATGACATGTGATGACCAATGACCTGGCTTGAAGCGGTTTTCATCGGTGACTGCAACAAACGCACCCCCTGCTGCTTATTCCTGTTGGATCTTAAGGAACTTCATGGTCTTTCCATTGGGGCGGAAGTTACGTTGAGGGAGGAAGATCGTGTGGGTGAAACTTCGACAGGTTCCTGCATGGGACTGAATGGTACCTTGATCACGCTACAAGTTGCCCTGGGAAAGGGCTGTAAAGGACACTTCACCCAGCGACCCCGCCATTGGCTGCCACCGCCAGCTGCTTCTACTTCTTCGACCCCCAAAAGCCCGTGACACTGAAGGGGAAGGGGGCACCATGGCTGGGAGGACATGTCATGTTTGGGGGGGGGGGCAGATCCCGGATGAACAGAATGAGATGACACCATCCGTTACCGTTCAGGCTCGGACCCGGCTCTAACCACTGGGCACTGGCAGGCACTGATGCTCCTGTGCCACGGGTCCACCCTGGACCTCGCTGCTTGAGGACCTCGATGCGTCGCCTGGTAGTTGTAGCCCTGCTCCACCAGGAACTGCTGCCGCCGGTTCGCGTGATAGAGCTCCTGGGTGTCGCGCGAGACCACGGAGTAGAAGAAGGCATTGAAGCCACCCGTTCCTCACAGATGCACGTTGGAATTCACACGATAGGATGAGGTCCGGCCCCAGACCGAAAAACAGGACCCCTCACTGAGGTTCTGTGGAAAGCCCGAGAATAAGAAAAGGTCCATGGTGAGAAGAGATGGACCAAATGGAGCTCTCTTTAAACCACCCCGAGGTAGGTAAATAGAGCAAAAAGGTGCCGTACATGGAGTGTTTGGGTTGGGGTCACCATCTTTGTTTCGATCACTTGGGTGTGTTTTGAACATTGCAGAGAGGCACTGTCCAGTCATGGAGGATGTCGAACAGAAGAGAGGAAAAGGAACCTGGAAAACCCAGTCCAAACCACCAACAGTTCTGGTTCTTCCAATATGGCTTGCTTACGGCTTGAGACCCTTTACATAACAAGTGCTTGAGACCCTTCTCCAGATCCCTCCAGACTGGTTTCTGCAACTGGGACCGGGGGTTTTTTGAGGCCTCCAGCCATCCACGTCCCCATCCGCAAGCGGAGCCTCCATCCTTCGCCTGTGGCTTCGGTCGCAAGATCCGCCCCAGCCGCTGTGCTTCCTGCCGCCGCGACCCGTAGTGCGAAGAGATCTGCACGATGACCTCGCTCTTCGTCCCGAAGGGGCGGTGCTCCAGAGGGGGTGAGAGGGCGTGCGGTCTTCCTTTGGTTCGGCTTGACTTCTGGTACATCGAAGTCCTGTCCAGATGCCCCTTAAGCTAAAAACCATTCAACACCCCTTAGAAATCGTCTGGTATGGTTTGAATCTGGGCTGCCTTAAGGTGTTTGAGGTGATGTCTTTCTTACGATGCCTCGCGAGAAACAGGTCCAGGTGAGAGGAGTCCGGTACCGGCATGTGGATGAAGTGATGAAGAGAAGCTGAACAGGCGATGGCACGTTCGTCAAAAACAACACACCACCCCACAAATTGGTGGCACACCAGCAAGCCAGCCATGGGCTATATTTCGTCGATTCTCGTCATAGTACGTACGGTCTAGTACGTCTGCTCAAAAGGTGCGAGAAATCACACGATTCTTCAAAGTCACATTGGCCACTGGCAAGTCAATAGCATTGTCCCCCACCTGCCAAGGCAGGACAGGCCGGCGGGCCAGTCAGGCAGAAAAATGGAGCTGGACAGCTTTGGAATCTTGGCTTCAATGCACTGGACCATTGGCGTTATTCAGAATTGGTCAACTGAGAATCATTGAACTTGCAACTTGAATCCTTTGGTCAATCCACTGGATCATCTTTCAAGTGCCCCAATCGGTCAATGGAACTTGAAAGTTCAACGGGTCTTCAGAGTCCTCCAGGACAGAATTAACAAGCCTCCTCTTCGCAAAGGGTGGTCAGCTTAGCTGACGATGCTCTCATACACTTGGAAAGCACAACCTGGTGCTTGTCAGTGCTTCAATGGCCAATAGATTTAAGGAGGTGTTCTTCGGGCAGTTCGCATGGCAAGTGACGTGACCCAAACAAAGGAAGGAAGAGTGATTCTTCACTTACACCCATCATTGTCCAAAACCAACAGCACACCAACACCCAAATGTACCGAAGAACATGTTTCTTGCCTGTCCTGCTCAACCCACCCCCAGCCAGTTGGATTCAACAACCTTTCATGGTGTTGGTGTCTCTGCCTGGCGGCCGTACATCCCTCGCTGGACGAGCGCGGACGCGTGGGCACCTTCGAGAGGAAGATCGTGTTGCAGGCGGAGCTCTCCTTCCAAGACGGCCCAAGCATCCAAAGTTCCAACAGAGGTGGGTCAGAAGCCTAGTGGCCCTATAGTTCAAATAGCTATCCCATAGGTACCCCAGGTGGACCAGGTCCGATTTACGGGATTCTGGAGAGATTGTGGAAAAAAAGAGCTTCACAATTTAGTAAATACCCCAAATACCCGCCTGCGAGCCAAACAAATTCCGACTGGCATCTTCTTTCTGAGCCATGGACAGATTCCCCAAAGGCTCAAAAGCGGAATGTCCGAAAGATTCTTCGATCAAGCTGTCACAAGTTCCAAATACATGTTCACCTGGCCACCTACAAAACATACAAATACTACAAGTACAAATACGTGTTCACAGTACAAATACTACAAGTTGTTGTGGCTCAAATTGCACCTGGCCACCTTGCTGAACCACAATCACTATGCAAACACTTCAAACCACCTTGACCCCTCCCACGCCAAAACTCCGTGTCAGCGTCAGCGCCAGTCAAAGGGTTTGGGCAAATGGACGAAACAGATCAAACCCTGGCAATGCAAAGTGAAAGAAGTCCATTCAACATTGAACTTTGGGGGTGTTCCCGGCAGTTCCTGACTCAGGGCTTCGAATACTTTGTCCATCTACTGTACGTATGCCTGTGTGCAAGCACTCTAAGACTCCTTTCGATGCGTTCTGCCAGGAAAACAAGTCTCTTGCCAGTCTCTCCTTTCGGGCCAAGAAGCCCATGTTCCATCGGCACTCACCGTCGTCATTGGGCGTCCCACCCAGAAACGAGCCTCCGATGTCCCGAACCCCCCACCCTCTCCGTCGTCTGCGTCGCGTCCTGGAACTCGCTGAGGATTTGCATCCGCTCGCGCAAGGAGACGCTGCCGCAGATGTAGTAGCGGCCCAGCTTCCGCGCGAACTCCTCGCGCCGAGCGCGGGCCAGCTCCCGGCGGACCGGTCTCACCGGTCCGGTTGTGCACGAAGGAAGAGGGACCCCAACCGGTGCATGTCGTCTGAGTGCCCCCCCCCTTGCATGTGTGGTCATGTGTGTAAGAAGTGTAGAGTCCCGTGGGGCGTTGTATGCGCGTGGGTCGTATGATTCAGATGGTACAGCGAAAGCCTCTTTTGTGTGCTTCGTCGCCCCGGTGTCCAGTAATGGATTCTCCGCGAATTGGTCCACGTGCCACTTATCTAATCAATGTCATCCATCTATATAATCTACAGTAATCCCACCTCGAGTTACTGTGGTTTCAGAGGTTCGATGGCGGCGTCGATGTCTCGGGAGTCCACGACGGTTGGATGCGAGTCCGGAAGATGCGCATCCCCTGTCATGCTCGTTCTCGACATGCTGGCAGAGTACTGCAAAATACGGGCAAAACAGTCATGGGAACATGATTGGGAAGTTACACGCCCACATGAGCCATTGCCGAAACCAGGTGGCTAGTCATGCAACTGCATCATGGTACAAAGTTTAGGGAATGTTAGCTGTTAGCTAATCCACAGTCACCAGGAAGGAAACCACCGCAAAATGTCTAATGAATCCCCAGATGCGTTGTGAAGGTGAATCGTAATTTTCTCCGTCTCCACCCCTACCGAACGTAGTTCTGCCATCTAGTCTGCAAGAAGGAGAGTGAGTGGCTGGAGGCCATAATGGATGGCACAAGAATTCCAAAATGAGTCAAAACCAGAACAACTGCTGAGATGCAGGCACCCCTCGACATAGGTTGCAAAGGCAAGAGGAAGTGATCCAGGGTGTGTCCACAACAGAAGCTAAGTGGATCACTGACCCACACTTGCTAGGTCACCACTTGGGTTCAAAACTCCTCACCGTACTCACTTACACCTTATGTGAGAGTCAAAACCCTTTACCATGTCATGTACACTCCGAAAATGTTGTTAAGTAAGTAAGAAGTAAGAAAGAGTCTCTCATTGGGCCCTCCTTGGGGCTCTCATTGGGCGCGCCATGACCCAGTGGAAAAGGCAGCGAGCCACCACCGCGGAACCCTCTCAAACCCACTGCCGGTCGGGCGAATGCCGACGCGAATGTCTCAGAGTAGATGGCACCAGGGCCCCCAAGTTTGGTATAGTTTATATGGACTAACACAAACACAACTGACCACTGCCAGTGGCTAACCCAGACCCATACAACCCACGTGTCCGGGTTACGTCCATTGCTGGTATCAGTTTATATGGACCAGTTGTAGTTGCACCCAAAAAGACCAAAAAAATAACATCTCAGTGTGCCAGTGCCATCTTTTTGCTCAAGGTAAAACCGGTATTTCTTCGAAGAGTTCAACGAAGCAGCAACATCCGAGCCTTGAGGATGAAGATGTTGTCGCTAAAGACGATGATCTTGTCCCCGCGCTGCTCGTGCAAGCGGATCAGAAACTCGCAGGTCTTCAACCTCCGCGGCGTCCGGCGGTCTTCGCTCAGCGACGGGCGACGGGTGGGACCGGAAGTGATCGACATGGCCCCTCTCGCAGTGGCGAGGAGTCTGCGTTCGAGTCTGGCAGAGGAAGAAAACATCATGGAAAACCGGTGGTCGCGAATCGTTTTTTCCCGGTGGTCAGATATATGGTTAGATTGCAGATATATGTACTGTAATTATATTAGAAAATCAGGTGGGTGAAAGTTCCATGTTCCATGTTCGTTGTTTTTGGGACGGCAAAAAGAAACTGGTCCACTTCGTCCACCCGGGGTGTCCACCCCTCGTCGAGCAGTCCACCCCTCGTCGAACGGAGGTTTGTTCGCCGTGCTTCAGATCCACTCACGACCGACGAAACACGCGAGGATCCGCTGGAACTGCTGGAACTGCTGGTGGTTTCTCGGCTTCGTGTTGGTGAAATGAACTCACTCTCTTTCTCTCTCTGGGATCTCCCATCTGGATCTCACTTCTTGAGCAGAAATGGGAGGGACGAGAGCATGGACCCGCACGTCCCGGCGAGAGCATGGATCCTGTTGCATCGCACGTGGCAACAAAGGCGGAGGAAGTCTGATTTTTGGATGAAATCCTATGAATTATCCAAACCCTAGGAGTCAAATACTATAAAAAGAATGGTCTTTAGGGGACCTGAAAGGGAACTTCCTTTACTTCAGCCGGTCAAAATATAGTCTTTGGACTTCTAGGGCAAACCATCTAAAAGCTGTCCGATCCCATCATCTTCGACTCGACACTGCAACTGACTGAAAAAAGGGAACCTTCGGAGGAGAATTCATCAGCTTGGCACCCGTGTCCTGACACCATCTCCTGACCCCACCCCATGTCCTTGCATGCAAGGAGTGCAAGTGCGCATGGTGTTGCACTTCCCCCACCTACATCCAAACAGGAAAAATGAGAGCTAGTTACTCAAAGGAATTGGCTCAAGGTCCAACCATGGCACAACAACCGATTGATGATGCCTATACCAGTCTCCCTTGTTTGCTTACACACAAGGCATGGGCACATGGGAATCCCAAAATACCATCTCTTGGCTTGAGTAGCATCTCCGAATAGAACATGCCATTGAGGGCTTGATCACAACAAGAGTCAAGTCCTATATATGGCTGTGGGTCAAGAGCAGGACACCTTGTTTGACCTACCGAAATCCGTTGTCACGAGGTGAGGGGGCTCGAGCTCCGAACTCCAGCGATCTTTTTCCAACCAATTTCTTCATCAGATGCAGCACGAAGCCCAGAACTGCCGCCACGACGGGTCCGCACTGGGAAGGCCCAGAAGCTTGTTCGGATTGCAGGTCCACAGCGCCCTCTGCAAGCTGCCACGCATGGAACCTCTGGCCGCGGGTTCACAGCGGTAAAACACGTCGTTCGCCCATGGGGATGGAGTCAGTGAGATGCTTAGAGTTAGCTTGGTCTTCGGAAGATTCATCTTTCCTCATTGTGATGGTGGAGACGAGATGCTACACTTCCTGCACTGCTCAGGACAAGTTGAAGCTATCCCAGTGCAGAACTTAAAACTTGAGAACTGCCCCATATACTAGGCTGTGGTAGTCATCCAAAATTTGTAAGAAGGAGGTGATGCAAGGAGGGCCTGTGTTTGGTTTCGGCTTTGTGACTAAATCGTCTGACTGTTCAGTTGGTCTGCACCGCATCCGCTGGTGACATCATGGTGAAATAGTAAATTGTCTTCCAACAACACATCAAAGTCCTGTCACTTTCAAAGAGAGCACATGAGCATATGGAATGCTTCACAACCCCGACAAGACCAGACAGCTTCTACCAACTCCTGCTCCTCAGTGTTATGTAATGTTATGTCTGGACATGTGCGGACAACTACGCTAGTTGTCCAAGCGCGATCGCGCGATCGTTGGTCCTTTCTTCGCGATGTGATCTCAACTGAACGATGTCCAACCACTTCTTCGCCCGGGTCCTACCACCGTCCAGCGAGCCAAGGACTCGGTCGCTGCACAACCGCAGGGCGGAACGCCCGACGCGTTAAGCCGCGGGCGGGGACGCGCGCTCCAGACGCGCGGAGCGTCTGCGCGTCCCTGCCTGGTACATCGCCCCCATCTTGCGCCTGGAGATATTCCATGAAGAACTCCTGGCTGAAGTCACAAGAAGAGATTCTTGGAAGAGAGAGACATGTCAGACGAGATCTTGACTGGTGATCCCTCTTGTTTTCGTCTTTCCCTGCGTGCCACTTCACCCAGAGGGAAAATCAAGAACGAACACGCACGTCGACGTCCGTCAGCCTCCACCGACCCAAGGTTTTCGCCGTTGCGGTGGGTCTGGCCCCGAGCGACGTCGCCCCGATGACGCGGTGAAGCGGCGGGCGGAGAAGAGGAGCAGAGCTAGGTGGCCTGCGTCCAGGTCACTAGCAGAATCGAACGGAGAAGGGAACGGATTTCGGCCAAAGCGAGGCCGAGTTTGCCAACGGCAACGAAACCGACCCTAAAATCATGGAAACGTTGCGCGACTGATCACCTGGCAATGGTCATTCGATACAGACCATGCGCCTAGAACATATCTTATCACAGCGACGTCCAGGGTCTTGTCACGAGATGCGAACATCAAAGAACCCGATCCTTTCACGAACACGCCACGGATCCAAGGGAGCCTTGTGACATTAGGACACCTGGGACTTCAAGCAGCCCGTCTGGCGACCAGACTTCGAGCGACGAGTTCGAGCGACGGAGCGTTCCAGCGACGGTCTCGCGGATCGGCTCCTCCGCCATGTCGCACCAGACTTCGATGCAACGCACCTTGGCCAGGTAGCCATCGTCCTGGCGGGATGGGACACCTGGCTGTGGATGTGGTGGATCTGGTGATGTCTTTGTTGGTGATCCCAGACAGTTCGCAAAAAGGACTTCGTCTTTTGTTGGAGCTCTTTTTTGGGGGGGTGCATCGTGGAAGAATCAGGTGGAAGAATCAGCTTATAGTTTGCACCCAAAGAAAACCAACAAATTCAAACCTACCAGAGCTTACTCTGCCAAGCTGTGGCTCTGGTTTTACCATGCTTTGACCCAGAATACTTCACAGTCACTCATTTGCATGGCCTTTTGCGCGGGAACTCGTGTTAGGGAAATCACTCCCTTCCCCAAACACGTGCGGCTTTTGGCGACAGTGGCATCCGACAGCTACCAGACAGGGAGCCTCCCTGAACTGGTAGCAATCTGGGTATCCACCTGGTCAACCATCACTTGGGATGGAAAATAAGCATAGCAAAGGGCTTCGCAATTCATCTGCACCCATCTGGGGTGGGTGGGCCGGGTGCGAGCGACTTTCGCACCGCCTGAGCAAACCCACCACCTGTTCAACTTGCAAATCCACCACCTGTTCTGTTCACACAGACTTAGACATAAGGTTTGGGAAAGTTTGGGCGTGGAGTGATTCCCTGATGCGACCGTGTCACCCCACAGTCCCCACTCCGCACACGGGTCTATCATGGTTGCACCCATCGCAGTCCCTGTCACGGACTGGGCAGTGGCACGTCGCCATTCATCAGATGTTCCAATGGCGCCAGGGGCCATCCTGTGCCCTTTTAACCACGGTGGCTCATGTGGGCCACCGTGTTCTTCCGGTCTCCACCTCGGTCTTTCACAGCTCCAGCGTTGCACCATGTTGCACCACTGCTTCCACCTCCCGACTGCGGGCCTTTCTGCCACCTCGCAGTCGCAGAGAGTTCGTAGCCTTCGTATCGACAGGCTGCATCTGATCGGGTCGTGCCACAGATGCGGATGTTCGTGATCGAGGTATCGGGGCTCTGCATATAGATGGCCGGTCTGCAAAAACTGTGGTAAATGGTGCGCTTGAAAGCCATCAGCTCCTGGCCTGATCAACGCGTCGCGGCCAATTCCTTTGGGTAGGGCTTTGCTTTCTGTGCTTTGCCCAGGCTGCCAACTTGCTTGGCGGCCCTTGTCACATCGTTGAACGATTGAAATCTGATCATTTCTTCAGGTCCGGAATCCCTAAGAAGTCCGCCATCCGTGTGTCCTTGGCAATCCGAGCATGAGCAGGCCTCTTGAAAAAACTCCAAATAGTATGTTCCAAGTAGTTCGCCGCTCATGACCACGTCTCTTTTCCGCACGCCCAAACAAAAAACCTCGACCTCGACCAGACCAGTGATGATTCCGAGGCAAAAAAACATGCACCCGAAAAACGGGAAGCTCCTGGAGCTGCTGCCAGTTGGCTTCATAGAGCTTGGGGCCAATGAGCCAATGTAAATCCTCGAGGCGAGAGGCGAGAGAGGCGCCGATCGGCTGAGAGCGGTCAGCTCTTCCGGACCCAAGGGTGGCGAGGGCGAGTGGCTTCAGTGGTGACAAGGGTGTGGACTTGCGGGGGGTGGGGGAGAATACATGTTCATGTGAAAAATTGGTGTGATGAAGTTCGAAGACCTGGAATGCCACTTAGAGCTGGAAACCGTGAGAAAATGAGCTGGAAACCGTGAGGGGCGAATACACTCGGTAAGGAATGATGTTGGATACAGGACACAGCTGTGCATGAAAATACTTCAATGGTCCACGTCTTCCTTGGCAAATCTTCGCAAGCATCCACCGCAGGGTAGGGGTATAGAGGCCGTCTTCCCTGTACCTTACTCTCCTGCAGAGGACCACATAGAACCCCCCAAAATCACTCGCTTGGTATTCGGAAAATGGTCCAAAACATGGATCGAAACCTTGTCGGGGTCCATGGGAAATCCCCTGCGGCTGTGGGGAGGTAAAGGTTGCACCATGAGATGAGGAGATGCTCAGGTGAAATTTTCGTAAGGCATAGGCCATAGCACAAGAGATGGAGATTCAAGGTTGTGGCAAAGGTGGCGCTTCTTTCACTGAACTCTTCAGGATCAGCCGGATCATATCTACATCATGCAAACTGCTTTGGTGAAATCAAGTAAAGACTAGTAGAGGCCTGTCTCCATCTCTGAAGTGAGGGAGCCCAAATCAATTCTCTTATACGTCCAAACTCAACCAACCCGACTCCCCCGTCACGTCTCCACTTCACCAAGCTCCCCCCCCTTCAGAAACAGCGCTTTCTGCAAACAGTCTCGCGGGTTCCGACCGACCGCTGCCCTCCTCCCCCACCGCCTGGATGAGGTCGTCCTCCCGAACCAGTGTGGCCGTGAGCCCCAAGCAGCAGTGGGACTTGATGGTGGTCGCCACCGTCCGGAAGGTCCGCGCCTACATGAGCCGCCCGAGCCCCCAGGGCGCGCGCACCGGGCGCGCCCGGCGGAAGGGAGTTGAAGGGTTTGGGGGACCGGTGGCGGAAAGCTGGGGCGGACCAGTGCTTCATATCTTTGAAGGGGTCTGGAGGATTGGAGTGAGCGTCAGTTTCGAGGTTGGAAGATGTGGCAATTGAAGGCGGACACATCCGCTGCGGGTCATGGCACCCGGAGCCCGTTGACCTCCCTGGTCGGTGGACCTCCCTAGTAGGTCGTCGATTCTGTTCATTTCGTTGGTCAAGCGGTCAACCAGGGTCCCCTGGTTTTGACCCACAACCAAATCACTGGACAGAGGTGAAATAGTAAAATGTGATGGCCGGCATACAGGTGTTTTTCTCTAGACCAAATGTGTGAACGCCTGCCGTACAAGCAGCGTTCTGCCAATGATTTGCTGATCAGGGGACTGGAAAGAAAAGGCACACATGCATCTGGATGTCCCAAAGCAAAGCAAATGTTCAATAGAAGATATATAGAACAAGACTAGAAGTCCAAAGCTGTGGAAACCACGCCAAATCCATGTGCCGATCAAATGATATCAAATGTATTGGAAGGTTTCACGAAACCTAAAATAACAAACGACCGGGTGGCCCGCTCCTCCCGTCTTTGCTTCAATCCAAGCGACGGGCATCACTTGCACTTCGTCCACCACCAGAAGACCCCACCTGAACTTCGAATGATCCAACCTCTGGTAGTCAGGATTCGCCATATGCAACGAAACCATTTTGTTGGAATCATTTAGATGCCAATCTTTCAACAACCGTTCGGTATATCCGGGTGCTCAGAGCTGTCAGCTCAAATGGTGGGATTGGTGCACCAAAGATTATGTTCGCAGGAAAAGGGCCGTGAATAATGGCATGCCGAAATGACCAAAAATACCTTCGAAAACCAATTTGTAGCAAGTCTTGGAGCTGTGGGTGAGAAGTACTCTCGCTTTAGTGTTGTTTTAAGTGTTTCTGTTACATGTTCCATGGGAAGGTGCTGCCACGTGAACGTCTATCTAATACTAAATGGACTCGTGAGATAACTCATTCACTTCCGAGAGCATCATGCTTCACCCGGGAAAGTCGCCATCCGTGGGGGCGAACGAAGAGTGGCTAATAGGCTACTTGGCCAACATGATACTTCTCTTCTTCCTGAACACCCACCGACCGTGCCCCCGGCTTCTTCGACAACTCGACCCTCCACCGGGTCTGTCTGCCCCGGCTTCGATAAGCCCATGTCACTCCAGCTGTTGCAGCTGCTCCAGGATGAAGGCAGTGTCCCCTCCTGCATCAGCCAAACAGCAGGGAGGTTGCAGCAAAACAACTGCTTGTTCCCACAGCATGGCATCGGCATCCTCGTCGAACCAAACAGGTAGGAAAACCGGCGGTCAGTTCCGGTGGTGCCGCGGCGTCGAACCGAAGTCCGCCGGGCGGCCGATATTTTCGTTGTTTCGAATCGAAGCAACACCTGACCATGGGATGTGCATTCGAATAGAAAAACCCTGAAATGACCACCTGGATCACCTCGAATCCAGCCTGGATACAAGGACCAAATAGACCTGTCAGACCGGAAAAAGCCCTTGGTTTCTTCAGCTCGTCCGCGTCCCAACGGTTCGCCCGCCTCGTCGACCAGTGAAGCCTAGCATGCTGTAGGTGGAGATCACCACACAGGCCTTGCGCTCCGCATCCTCGATGGGTCGCTTCTGGTCCGCTGTGAAGAGGTACACGTCCTCACGGCACGAGTGACATAACTTGACGTCACAGTGGAGTTGATCGAGGCTCACTTTGAGTGTCTGAGACTGACTGCATTTGAACGGGAAACACTCCGGTGTTCCCATCAAAGCTTTGAGCTAGGCTGGTCTGCAGGCCGGACGGACTCGTCGCTTGGGACTCCGGTGAACTCTGCTTGGGATGAACCCAGGATCGGATGTGGAAAGCACAAACGCCCAAGAGTCCCAGAAAGGAGAAAACTCCCAAACGGTGTACTGTGTATATATATATATATAGTATCAGTATCACTCCGACTTGCAAAATTGTTCTGATTCTACGATAATATTGGTTCTTTCACTGACGTTCATGGCATTGGAATCACTGCGCAAGAATGCAAGTCACCCACTGAAAGGATACAAGTCACACAAACTGCTGTTTTATCAAAAAAACATTGCCCCTACACATGCTACTCCCTTCTATCTCTACTTCATCCAGATATAAAAAAGAATGGAAAACAAACACCATCCTGCCGTGGCGTGTTACGGCTCCTCCGGCGGCAGCGTGGTGTACATCTGCAGCTGTCGCCGCCACTGGTCCACGGCCACGGCGGTGGTCGTGAGCACTAGCGCTCGGCGGCCCACGCGGCAGCAGGCGGCGATGCCCAGCAAGGTCTTCCTGGCGGCGCATGGAGGTGCGTCAACACTGGGAGGGGAGGGGTGTAGAACACGTGGCGGTTCGAAAAAGGTTGGGCGAAAGGTCGTGGCAGTTTGATGGTACACCAGCAGGCCCTGGTAGGAATGGTACTCTTTAAGGTGGATACAAGGCCTTATCACCTTGTAGGTGGCACAGAAACGGCAGGGTGTTTTTGACCTCTATAGGTTGCACAGCCGAGGAACGGCAAGCGGTTGGGTTCATCGGATCGCTCTGGGGAAGAGGGACCTGGCAGGATCGGATGCATGGGATTTCTGTTAGCACGGTTGATCGGACGCAGTGTAGGAAACCAGCAGAAAGACACCAGTTCCGCCAAGCGTAATTAGGACTAACTCTGGATTTTACGTAACTCAGATAAACTTAGAAGCTCTTCGTCTTCTCCCATCAAGTCACCCAAGGCACATCCTTGCCACTTCTATACTTAAGTTACCTTGGGTATGTCCCAGTGGATGACGATGGTTAGCTTCAAGGCCGACATCTCCGAAGACATGGGATGATCCATTGACCGACTCTGACGGGTCATGAGCCACCCAAACACTCGCTCAAAGCGACTGGCTCCAAGTGGCCCAGCTCCACAGGGCAACACCACGATGCCGCTCTTCGCCACTTCCTTTCGCGCGTTTCTTCGACACGTGTCGACACGGAGCTTCATGAATCGGACCGTGGATGAGGATGACACCCATCGCAAGCGATGTGGTTCACCCCTAGGGCTCCAGTTGTAGCTCCTCAAAAGCTATGACTGGACCCGAACCTGGCACCCACCCCAATCCCCTTGTCAAGAGGGTGCGACTGGAGCCAGGGTTTGGTGGGTTTCTTTGGCGGCATCGATGCGGTTCCCCCGACGGCGTCACGGTCAGAAGGGGTCCAGTTGAAGAACTCAGTAAGGCGCCTCTCGTTCTGGGCGTCAGGGAAAAATACACACCGAAGCTTGTCCGTCCTGGTCTCCTCCTAGTGGTCAACTTGAAAGAGAGCTTTCAACACCTACCACAAGGAGCACGTGTGGTTGACTTGTTCGCAAGCAAACTGATTTGAGCTGCCAAAAAATGGTGGGACTATCACTCCCCAGCCACACGTTCAACATAGCTGAATCCAAAAACTGCAGCGACATGGCTATCGCTCTTGAGGAGGGCCCATCGCTTTTGCTGGTTCCATGTAGAAAAGAATCCTGAAATGAGCGAACACTCTTTATATTACTAAATGATACTAAACTTGGTCTTTGCAAGGTGTGGCGGTTGGTCATTTCAACAAAATCGCGATGAGCAAGTCAATTCTGCACTCCTCTCACCTCGGTTTGTACCCACCGTGTTCAAACAGCCTGGCCCTGTGGTACCACACCTCCACCGAGAACATCTTCGCCAACGCCCGCTGCTGGTAGGGCCGCAGGTTCACGTTCGGCCGCAGCACCGCCGGCAGCGGCGGGTTGCCCTCCGCGCGGTCGCGGCGGAACTCGTATTCCTGGCCGGTTCGGGGGTCGGTCGGCCAGTCGCGTGGTCGCCGTGAACTCCGTTGGTGAAGGGTGGGTCAGTTGGTTTTTGGTCGATGAGAACTCCGGCCAAAAAGAGGCGAATCAACATGGATGGTCTGTCTGTTGGTGAAGGAAGGTGAACTCCTCGTCGGCCTTGATCGATGTCTTTGTTGCTCCTTAGTCTTTTTTCTCTCCATCTGCAAGGATTTAAATCTATGGCACAAAATATGGATGTGTATTTTAGTAGGAGACCTCCCAACTAATGGGTTTCGGTATACAGAATGTTTCGGTCTATTTGTCTTCTTCCAGGGGTCTTTGGGGGATCTCCCTATTCTAATACAAAGTTATAGTTATAATCTTCAGGTTTTGGTCAATGTTTGGGTTTCAGGTCTACAAGTGCTCTATTTTTCAGCCATGTCCCGTTGAAGATTCTTTGTTGGAACTCACCCAAATGGTGACTAGATCAGTTGGCTATCGGTGAAGGGCCTGTTTAGGGGGAATGTGTTGGCGTTCGATACCCTTGCTCTTTTGTTTCACTCCGACTCCCTGACATGGAAGTGAAAAGTGGTCCTTTCTTCTGCGGACAGCCATGGTTTCCACTTCCATGTAAGTGAGTTAGAGTTGTAGCGGCTAGTGGTGCAGAAAAGACACTGGCCTGCAAAGGAAAACATGTTTTAAGTCCATGTTCAGGTTTTCGAGGCAGGGGTGTACCTCTATGTAATGGTGCAGAATTGAATCATCCATCAAGCACAAAACAGGCACCTCTCAAATCTCTCCCCATCCTTCCATACATCCCTCCATCCTACTTTGTCATCTCATCACTCCACCATCCCATCTCAATCTTCCCAACACCACCACCATCTTCCCAACACCATCCGCCTGCAGCAGCGGAAAGCCCAACTGATGTGCCGCAGCTTTCAGCTTCTCCACCTTCAGCGAGTCCACCTCGCTGCTGGCGGCGTCCACCACGCACTCCGCCACCTGAGACCCCGCGCGCGGTGCGAACCGGAGGACCCCGCGGTGTCGGTCGAACTGGTTGGAGAAAACGGACACGTTTCAAACGAAAAAGCGAAGGAATTCGGTCGAACTGCGTCGTTGAAACATGTGCGTCTTTCATTGGATTGTATGAGCATGTTTAAGAATGAAAACGAACGGATGTGTCCTCGTTTCCGGACTCGGACATTCAAACCAGATTTGTGGTGATTCGCTGCATGCGCCACCGTCACTCGCCGTCACAGCCGTCCAACGTCGCGCACCTCCTCATGCGTCTTGAGCTGCCGCAGGAGCTGCTCGTCCTCTCGGGCGAGCGGAACACGTGGCGAGAGCGGAAGACGTGAAGATCGTTCCCCAAACAGTGTGGACACACTGAGGGGTTCCTGCGATAGGAGTAAAGCAGCTGATGCTTAGAAGACGTGAGCATCGTGTTTTATCTGAAAAGTCTCCAAGAGAACGGTGAGTCATGTCAATGTATGCTGGTCCAGCTGTTTCATGGTTTCCCGAGATTCTAATAAGAAGTTCCTTCCAGGTAGCAGAATCAACAGCACATGATCGCAACCCAGCAACAAAAGTCCTGGATATCTGGTCATGTTTTGGTCTGTTTATACAATATTCTACACTTCGCCACACACTTTTGTTGCTTGCGCATCAGATCCACTCCCAGCCTTGCCCGGATAAAAGCGGGGATTGAGTGTACGTATGAGTACAAGCAAAAGAAACACACCTATAGCCTGTAGGATCATGTGTCTCGAAAAAGAAAACCCATGTCAGGCCCAGGCTTGATATAACTCTCATTTTATAAACCTCCGAGACACTAACAACAAAAAACCTCGAAGTTGCAAATGACCTTCTAGTCAGGTACAGGAGGTGGATGTCTGCCACGGGTGGACAGGCGTGCATGTTTGGACAGGACAGGTCGTTTGGACAGGCGTGCCACATCAATTGAGAAATATGATCCAAACAAACGGTGAGTCGGTATGAATACTCCCCTGCAGATTTCACATCACATACACCTGTTGAGTTAAGACCACGTTCCCGAAGCCCACGGACTTCCGGATCGTGTTGCGCTAAAAAGCTTCTGAATACTGGTATCATAAAGTGGGGTCCATCAGTCCATCAGGCAGGCCCATCAGTCCATCAGGCAGGTCCATCAGTCCATCAGTCCATCAGCATAATGGGTGACTTTGGACTTGCTCCTACCGGCCATGCCGGTTCTTCTCTTGGCCAAGATGACCCAAGAATCGATTGCACCCGCCTCGGTTGCCCCCCTTCATCCCACAACAAAACCCTCGGGGAACTGCTCCACCCGTCCCGTCACGTGGTCCTCCGACTCCAAGAAGTGCCGGCCCTCCCGCAGCACCAGTCGGAGCTTCCCGGTGACACGGCCCTTGGCACGGATGAAGCTCAGGAAGGACTCCTGCGGTAGGACTCGCCCGTGCACCGAAAGGCACCCGCGTTTTCGAGTGAGCAAAGGACTCGCTTCGGAGCACGTCTTCAGGCGGTTTGCGGAATAGGTCCACTTCAGGCGGTTTCAGCGCTATGTCTAAGAAAAAGGATGGATCTTGCTAGCTATCTTTCGCTAGAAGGGTCTTGACCTACCAGGGCAGGTGTCTATTCAAAGGCAGCTTGGGGTGTCCATGGACCATCGATCTGACAACAGCAGTGATTTCCTGTGCAGGACGAGTGCTTCACCAGATCGGCAACAGTCCTGAAACCATTTGATAATGCTAACGTTGACCATCTCTACAACGGGTACGTAACATTCCTGGAATGATCGTGCTTTTTGTAGCATGTAACATCCTGGGACCCTTCACTTGATGAAGCATGAGAAAGAAACGATTTCTTGCTCCAGGGTCTAAATCCCATCAATCAGCCCAAAGACCATGAAGATCCCAAAATCAAGAAGTCTGGATCTATCGTGATCTATCAACCCATCTCCGTCTCCTACGTCCTGGCCGATGGGTTTACAGCCAATGACCTTGTTCATCAGCCAATGACCACCGAACCAGACCGCCATGAGGTGGTCATTGGAGCTGCGAAGAGACCCCGCACCGATGTGATCCATCAGATGAAACACACGAAACCCAAACGCGTCAAAGCTACTCTGGTATATAGGGCTGTCATGAGCTGTCAAAAGTTCTTTCCGCGCTGCACTCCCAGCGATCAGCTCGGCTTCTTTGTTCGTTTTTCCTGAGGACTCGAGGCTTCAAGTATAGTTATAGGAAATGATCCGTGTGCTTTCCTGCCCTTTCCTACCTCCCCCATCATTCGGAACCCCGACCGTCGGACTCTTTAGCTGTGCTCCCTACCACCGCATAATGTCGTGAGCTCGGTTCACGAAAACAATCGTTATATATTATATATTTTTTTTTAATATATCAATGGTGAACCCACGGTGCACCACCCACCGGTGAAAACTCCACGGCGCGCAGCGGCGAGGTTCACGTCTCCTGAATCACATTCTTGGACAGTTTCACCAAGACCTCCAACCGTGACAGAGATGGTCGGATGGTCCGACGGATCCCCAAAGGACATGAGACTTGGATCACATATCCCAATACGTTCTTTGCAATCTTTGAGGGTTAAGGAAAAAGAACTTGAATGGTCATGAATGAACTGGGACTAGAACCTAAACCTAGCATAAACTAGGCGAAAGGCTCAGAATGAGAGTATGAAATAGAGCGCAATAAAGGAATGCAAAAAAACATATTATATAATAAATATCCGTAGGGCTCCAACTACCTACTGAGAAGATGGTTATGGTAGCTTTGTGGGGTCCAATCACCTTCTGATATGGTCTTCAGCCCTAGGGTAAATACCCAACTCGATACTCGATACGCAAGAAATGAATCTAATCGTTGATTGACTCAGTGCCCTGACCTGGAACAGTGCCCTGACCTGCTTTTTAGGCTCATGAGGGATGTTCCCACCCTCGCTATACATCCAACGCCTGGTATTTCCGTGGGAGTCTCCTTGTGCCACCAGCGGTTCCACTGGGTCAAGATGGTTTGATTCGATGGTTTTTTTTGTTGGTGCTTCCTGTGGTGTGTCACTGTTAAAACCACTTTGGTATAGAATCAAGAGCCGGACAACTCCGGACAACTTTAACTTTATCGCATGCGGAATGATATGATAGGTTGCATTACATACTTGGCACTTTAAGCCCAGTCCCTCCAAGTTCTTAGCTCCCGCTGAGTCCTTAGTGTTGCAAACTTAAAACGTGTCGGGCTGAATACAAATTTCGAAAGGGTTCTCAGCGCCTTCGTAAGGATCGCAGAACTGCGGGAGTCTACACATCGTAGTGCGAGAGTCTACACGTTCACAAGTCAACACTTGGTGTACGCCCCGCGCAGCAAATTCAATTCGGGAAATGGCAAAGTGCAAGGGCAAGACGCCTTTCCCACATATATGTCTTTAACCTCAAATCATAGGCTGTACCTAAGTTTGATATGTGCGAAAAGAAGCTGTCCAGTCGCTTATGAGCACAGGAAAGATCCCATACAGGGATCCAGCAGCTGTGTTTTGATTCGAGCTGCTGTGCTTCTTTTTGTGCTTCTGGTCTGTTCTCGAGTAATCGTAATCAAGTATTTCCAAAATTGCTTAGACATGTTGGAAATCCGTCTTTTGCGGTTGGTCAACGGTGTTTTTCATGCAGAATTCATCCGTTGTCTTGGAGAATTCCTCGTCAGCTTGTCTGCTTGTGGTTACTGTTCCCGAAAAGTTCTCTGGTTGGATCTTGTTGGCAGGTGAGCAGCAAGCCTCCATCCAACCGACACGAAGAACCGAAGAACGGACCACGTGTTCGCCATAAGGACGGAAAGAGGACGGATGGCGACGTCGTTTTGAATGCCGAAGAAAGTGGCAAAAAAAAGAAAGAATATCCGCATTGAGTTTTGTATGTTTATGTTGGATACATGTTGTGAATATCCTTGCTACATTGATCGAAGTGTTTCGATGTGTTTTGTGTATCTATCCGTATTCTTGTATATCAAGGGCATCCTCCTTGATGGGGGTCACCTAAGTCTACTACACTTTGACCTTTTTTTCCCGGTGCCATGTGGATGTCCAGTCAATGACTCCCCAACACCACCGAGCCACTCGCTTTGCCGAAACCCACTCTCACACCGAAACTCACACCTAACCCGAACCACGCGACTGCGTCGCTCACCTTGATGATCTGTTCCACCGAAATGCCATTGGCAATGGCCGCGGTCAGAGACAAGGAGGTGATCTGATACTCGTGGATCACCTGGTTCCACTGCGGTGTCGAAGACGACCCGGCGTGGGTCGGAGCGCTGAAGAGCGACCTCCCCAGTTGAAGAGCGACCTCAAACACCCGTCGACCCAACCGGGAACGGGTCTAAAAACACGGGGTGTCTTCCCCACACAGCCACCCAATGGGCTGGGCAAAAAATTCCATCGATGATCAATCGCTTCGTGTGGGTTTGGGGTGCTTGATCCATTTGATCCGCCATAGAGCTCGTTTTCGGTTTTGACACACCCACACGGATGAACTTCGACGAGTGTGCACCTCTCCGGGCAGGGGGTAGGTCTCGCTTCGTTGGTTCCTTTCGTTGGTAGGGAGGGAGGAAAGTGACGAAAAAGAACACGGGGAGGTCTTTATCTTCCATTACTACTATGCTACATGTATGCGCAGGTGTTTTGAATGGAATGTCCCCGAGCCCCATGGTTGGGGACGATGCTCGGCATCCGAATCCGTCGATCGAAGCGAACAGCTGCTGACAGGGATGGGATCGCTGACACCAGAAGTCAGGCAAGTCGTGACTTGGTATGCTATGGTGTCATAACAAAACCCAGACACGACCTGTCTGGGACTGCCATAGGACTGCCGATGAATTGACCCCCAAAACAACCACCCCAAGGTAGGTAATTATATATGGCATGCATGGAGTGTCATAACAAAACATCACATTCAACCTCCATGGTGTGAAATCAAACGCCATCTACCCCAGACACGACCTGTCTGGGAGGAAGAGATGCCGCAAACCAAAAACGAACTGAACCACCCAAACCCAAAACGGTCTGGCGATGGTCTGCAACGTTTTGACCCGGGGGGCCATTCGAACACTGCCAAAACGGTTTTACCAGCCCCGTTCCCGAGGACAAACACGTCGGGGTCTGGAGTCTGGCAGGTGTCAGGGACAATGGAAAAACACGTCGGTGTCGTAGGGTGCTCATGTCGAACTGCCTCACCCCAACCCGGACGATGCCCTTCATCCATGGAGAACAGCCTGTGGGCGGCTCACAGGTTCTGCGATGGCGATGAGGAAATCGGCCACTTGTGCCGCTTGCCTGAAGAAGCACGGAGATCCGACGTGAGAATGTGGAAAAGATAAATAAAACTGCAATTCCTACAAAATCCTGCAAATCCCCTTGCCTCACCTACACTTGGTGACCTACACTCTGACTCACTAAGTTGGAAGTGGAAACAAACCGAGTATATGATAATATATGTAATTATATAGAGGGCCAGGGAAATAACAATCTTATGGTCCATGTTCCACTTCTATGTTAGTAAGTGAGTCGGAGTAATCCTTTCACGAGCGATTCTTGTGTCTGTCCCGTTGCAGAAGGGGGTGAAATAATCCTTGTCTGAACTTGTCTGAACATGCGCCCGTGAACTCTTCATACAAAATAACAATTGCGCACTGTAAGACATGCTTGGTGCTTCCTCTCCTCTGAGACATCCTGGAAAAGAGGGCCCCTTGTCGCTGGACCGATGACCGTCTCTGCGACACCCCGAGTTCGACGGTCGCCATTGGCGATGCGTCCGTGGCTTAGGGAAAGACGGTCTTCGACCATGTGGCCCAGCGGCACATGGAAGGATTCGAAGTAAATCCGTCCAGATTCGTGCACCCACAAAGGCCGCTGCGTGTGGTCCGCTTGCATCGCGGTTCACCAGGCCAGCCCAGGTGGAGGAAAGTGAGCCGCGGACGATGATGCACGACGGCGTGCCGCATGGAGGAGGAAAAGAGGGCGGAAGGTGGGGTCAAGGTGCCAGCCGGTGATCCAGAGGGAAGTCTCTTCGAGCAAGTTCTTTTCCTCCGAGTGTCTGGATGAATTCTGATGTAGGGAACATGTGGTAGGGAAGGAGGTCAAGGGTTGCGCTGCTCCGACTCTTCTGTGTGACCATTGATATAGTCCCACTCACTTTTGGGTGTGACGTGTCTTTATAAATGTTTAGTGTGACCATTTAGTGGTCCTCACAATCATTTCGGGTCTCACATCCAAGCAAACTGTTTTGAAAGGCTGAGACGAGCGCTTGCGTCGCTGGCGATTCAACATCGGGCTTGAGCCAACTGCAGAGCAACCGGAAGTTGCACGAGGGGAACCATCTTATGGAAGGTATACAAGTCCTGCTCTATGTTCCTCTTTCAGGGGGTCTTGTGGGGGGGTCCCTATACAAAGCAAAATGAGCGACATGCTACGGCCCAATGAGCGTTCAAGATGGTGATCTCCAAGAATCCCTGTGCCACCAGTCACCGGTGGGGACTGTCCCACGGGTCACCATTCAATGTTGGGTGCTTGTGTTCAAAATTAGTCACAAATTCGAGATTGGAGACCTGTTCAAGCTTGTATTGCACGAAATCATGAACCTCGCCACAGTGAAGCACCGTGAACCTCGAAAAAGAGCCTGTGAGGATTCGGATCCCTCATAGGCTGGAGGATCTTCCACTAACGAAGCTTTTTTTTAAAACACATGCATGCGACTCCACTACTCCCATGGCTGCATGAATGCTCCCCAAAACCCAGCTTCAAACCTGCGGGAAACTTTGGGAGATTGGTACTTCTTCAGGTCTGAGGCCTTGCTATCACGCTTCCTATGGCATCGCTAGGCCTCCACTCGTTGACCATGGGGCCGGACATGTGGGAGAAAACACCTGGGATGTAGACCCTCCTGTAAATTATCTGTGGAAATAATAGATTCCGTCATGCTGACTTGGTCTTTTTCTGTGCATCAACATGCTGCCTTGGTGGTCAAACCTGCATGATTGTGGCATGAAAAAATGAAAAATAAACTTTTTTGCAACATCGCTACGGAACTAGCTGATATGAATTGATACAATCTCTTGATGATGTATTTTGGCCGGCCCAAGGAAGGTGCAGATTCCCTCGCTACAGGATGGATCATTTCAGCTGCAGATTCCCTGCACTCCTCATGAAGAACCAAGTGTCACACCTTCAGCTCTCTTTCCCCCCATCTGCAGCTGGCTCTTCCCCAACAAAAATCAACAGCAAATAGCATAGACCCCGGAGAGCAACATCGATCGTCTATTTAAACAAAACAAAACGTCTAGCTCTCGCCCAAACCGTCCGCCTCCAACCTTCGCCCCTCGGAGGCCGCGCGTGGACGGAGCCTTGCACCACGGCCTGGGCGTCTCGCCACAACCGGAGAAAGGACGGAGCGGAGCAGAGTCGGAGTTGGGTGGGTGAGTAACTTGAAGTGAGTGGATCATGGGGGCGCGCCCTAAGCTCGGAAGAGCACCCTTTTTGGACATGGCACTGCTGAAACCGCAGGCATTGTTTGGGGAGCGGAGGATAGGGCCTTGGATTGGAGCCTTATAGGCTTGTGCTAGGCCATCCACCTCTTCTTTCTTGTCTTATCCAGTTTGGGGTTCCTTTTTAATGACCGGACCCGAGGCGTCTTTGCAAGAAGGGGTGAACTTAAAGCGAACGTATGGAAAAATGCATCAACACGCGAAGCTGGGCTCCTCTACCTGTGGAATCTCTTCGAATGGATCATGAGATGCTTTGAGAATGTCGTTCCGGAACCATCTCCTTGTGCCTTTTCTTTTGCAGAAACCAACCACTCACATCCACGCTCTGGATCCAACCACATCACATCTTCCAACATCTTCCAGCCTTCCAACACGCTTCCGTACCGTACCCGTCCCGTACCCGTCCCCGGTACCCGTACCAAGCGGCCAAGAGTACGAAGGTCTCGGCCTTCGTCTGGCTGATCACACTGTTCTCCGGCACCTGCTGCGACCAGCGAAAAAAACGAAGCACGCCAGGATGCCGACAGGTGCATGGGTTAGAGCGAAAGGACCTCCGCCGGAGACATCCCAAGACATCCAAGATTTGGACCCACCGCATAAGGACAGTGCGGACATGTTTGCCGGCATGTCCACATGTTTGTGTGGAACATACACATGCGCGCTGGCCCCTCTTTCCGAGACAAATGGTCGTGCGTCATCCAAGTCGTGCTTCAAGTGCTTCAAGTCATCCAAGTCGATGCTTGGTGGTTTTGAAGGTGGAGAACCCATTGGCCAAAAGCCTAGGCGGTTTTCGCTTTCAGCTAAAGCTTAGCGTTTCACGTCTGGAGAATCCAGCTGGAGACCCTTTTTGTCCATGACTATCGTTCTCCTTGAACCTGTTGGGCCCAGCAGGGCCGCACCAGGGCCGTGGTCATTCGATTCATTCGATTCAGGAATCCTTGAGTGAACATCCTGGTCGATTGCACCCTGCAATCGACCCTTCTCTGCAAAGACCCCCTTGCCGTGGGCGTTTTCGAACCAGGATTCCTCGGTTTTTGGGAGGCGTAAGGCCCAGGTGTTGAACGTTCCTTTCACATGGGATGCGGTGTCTGTCGTTCGGTGCCTCACAAATGTTCATCTTCTGTAGGATCGAGGACTGCTGCGAGGCGTTGAACCTCGGTCGAAACATTGAACCCGCCGGTAGCAGAGACTGGTCGCGGATGGTGGTTGAAAAAGGAATTAGAGTTGAAACAGTTTGGTTGGCTCCCTTGGTGAACCCACCCCTGTCAAATAAAAAACACGCTAAGCATGTTGATTGGGGTTGATTTTGACGGATTTGTGTGGGCCCCCTCTTGACTCCTAGCTTACTGCTCCACCCAGTAACCTTAAGTCGTGAAGACCATTCACAGACTCCTACAAGAATTCTATATACATATACATATACATATACATACAAATATATGTATATATATATATATGTATATATATAGAGTTATACAGTTATATATATATATACATGTGTGTGTGATTGTGTATATGTTTATATATATATATGTGTGTGTGTGTGTCTGCCATTTGTTAAGTCCAGGAGATCACCCAACTCCTGAAGAAAAGCATCACACCCCATGACCCTTCGCCACGAAACCACGGCGTCCATGTACCAATCCACCCTGCGGACCCAGATGCTTGAAAACCCTCCACCCCAAAAACAGAAGAACCCTCTAGGGTAGAAAAGGAAAGCTCCAACCAGATCAACCAGATCCAACCAGATGTTGGAGACTCAAAGTTCCACGAGACTGGTTGAGCACCAGACTACCCAGCTCCTACCCATTGAAGTTCCAACAGCACCTGGGACCGTCGGCATGCTAACCCTCCAACCGGGCGCTGGGTCTTCATGTGTCGACGTGAGCCGAAGATCTTCTCAGATTCCATTTGTAGGCGGCCAAGGTGTAGAGTCTGACTGGTACCCTCGATTTCAATCCCGACCCCCAAAGCCTCTTTCTCCACTTATGGATCATCATCGATGATTGGAACGTTCCAAGAAGCGCTTGGTACGGTGGTGAAGGAATTCAGAATGACATGGGGCACCACTGGAGGAGTTTGGAACAAAGTGTTCACATGTTTTTGCAAAGGTCTTGGGGGTGCCATGAAGTGGCGGCCCCAAAGAACTACATCCCCCCTTCAAGATCCCTAGTGGTGGTTTATACAGGGATTGGTCGTAAACAGCCAAGAGTTCAGAAGGCGGTATATGAGATGTCATCCTACTTCTGTCGGTTCTGTAGAGCCCAGCCAGCCCAGCCCGGCCCAGCCACACAACCATCCCGGTGGCGACAACCACACGACACCGACGACAGGTCGAGGGGCTGCCCACAGCTCTGTGAGCTCTTCAAAGCCTCCAGGATCAACGACCTGCCCACCCGAGCGGAAAAAAAAAAAACCGACCGCGCGCCGCGAGGCGCGTCGGGGCGCGGCCCGTCGTGAAGGAGGGGCGAACGGAGGGAGGAAGGAAGCGGGGCTCTGTGACTTGGGTTCTTCGGTGGATCGAAAGTTTGGAGGCTTTGAGGATGAGTTGGTTGACTGGATGTAGATCATTTGGAGGAATTCGAAGAGAAGGTTTCTTGAGGACTGAAGACAAGCACCATGAAGGATCCTTGCTTGCTGAGGGCGCTTTGCAGTTGGGGGCCGCAAGAGGTGTAACCGGCTTACAACCCTGCTTGGAAGTGGAACTCGGGTCCCAGCTGGATTTCCCCCACCCATCGTCGACTGATGTATGAGCGCCAATCAGTTGTGCAATAAGTTGTATACGGGACACCTACCGACCTACCGCCAATCAAGCCCTGAAAGGGACACCTACCACCTCACATAGATCATGTGTGGGAAAAATCTTGCTTTGTGCTTTGTGCTTTGGTAACCCTAAGAAGCGAACGCAGCGAACACATCTGCGCCGTCGGATCGCTGGACACGGTCGGATCGCGGGACATTCCCGTGGCTTTTTCTCGGTGCCAATGGTGGGCAGGTCCACAGATTTTTGCACTCAAGGAAGCCAAAGGGAAAGGCACATAGAACCTTGCAAGCACCAAGTTGACTAAGCCCATGTTTCCCTCCATACTATGCCCCAAAGCAAATGAACACCAAGTTGAAGAAGTGGCGTTCGGTGCGGTGGAACAGAATCACGCTTTCGCTCCTTCCGGCGACACAGCTGAGCTGCGCCGGGTCGCGCGGCGCTCCTCAGCTCCTCCCCTTTTGCCTGGACAAATAGACCATGAGATCTGGGCCGACCACCGACTTCCTCGGGATGCTCCACTCCATCCGATGGGGTCGAACTCGACGTCGAGGACGTGGGTCGATGGGGGTCGAAAAAAAGACGTTGGACCAAGCAGGAGTGGAGTTGGATGGTGTGGCTCGTCCCATCCGGATGTGATGTGACGCAACCGGGGCAACCCGACCCTTCCTCCGTGGACGCACCCAGCTCCATGGAACTCCTGGCAAGCAGTTGTTGAGTTTTGCACCTGTATTTATATTCAAAAGAAATCAGATCCTCGTCCAAGATCGGATCACCTGCAGGTCGGCAGCCTCAAACGGGACGCTCTTTGCTCCGG